CGTGAGGAAATTTACGGCACAGTATGCAACGAGTCGACCTCACCACGTTACATCAACCGCCCTGGCCAGTCTCAGACAGGCCGATGACGAACCACTGAGGACGTTCATGGAGTGCTTTGCCACCATCTCGGTTAAAATCTGAAAGTTGAATCTCGAGGTCCCCCTACACGCCATGCTCATGACGCTCAAGCCAGGACCATTCGTCGATAGCCTGTGTCGGCGACCTCCTCTAGACATGGACGAGCTCCGTGCCCGAGCTGCAGGCTACATCCAGATGGAAGAGCACTCTGCTTTTCGTGACCAGGTTCATGGAAAATCACAAGCAAAGTCAGACCACGGTCACAAAGACAAGGTTAAGGTCACCAACAATAGCCAGTTCAAGAAAGTTGCCAGGGCAAGCAATGGGGGGAGATACGACTTCTACACCCCCTGAATGTACCCTGTGTCCACATCCTGGAGGAGGCCAGCAACAGTAACATGCTCAGTTTGCCACCACCTAGACACAGTCCCAACAACGCGGACAAATCCAAGCACTGCCGGTACCATAGAAACTATGGTCACACAGGAATGCCGCACACTTAGAGATCGCATGGAGGAGCTCGTCTAGGGGGGACACCTCGGAAAATACGTCCAATGGCAGCAGGGTCACAATGGAGGCTACAACGTACGAGGACGAGGCAAAGGTCAAGGTTCGGGAACTCACACGGACCAACCCTCTGGTTCTAAGCAAAACGCTGGTGGTGCGGTGCAGGCCGAGGTAAGCCAGGAAACAGGGTCAACTCCTTTGCAGGGTACGTGGATCTATTGACAACTTTCGGAACCTCTCCTGATTCAAGGAGAATCATGGTCCGCTACCTCCTCGTCGAAGCCAACACATCCTACAACATAATCATTGGAAGGCCGACGTTGAACCAACTCAGAGCAGTGGTGTCTACCCCGCACCTCACGATGAAATTCCCAAGGAGTGGTGGCAAGATCATTTCTGTCAGAGCAAACCAGAAGATAGCCCGGCAGTGCTATGCGGAAAGCTTGAAGGTCTCGCCAACCGAGGACCGCCACAAAGGTGACCCACCTACCGTGGCTCACATAACCCAAGTTGGCATCGCTGACCTGGATCCCAGGTCAGAATCTCATGACGAACGGTTGAGTCCCATTGATGAGCTCGATGACCTTCAGATTGGAAAACTCCCTGAACAGTGTACAAGGATAAGCCGACAGCTCAACCTAGAGCTACGGCAACAAATCGAAGCTGAAATCGCCAAGAATGTCGACCTCTTTGCATGGTCCAGTGCCGACATGCCAGGTATAGATGCTAACTTTATCTGTCACAGGTTGGTAATCCACAAGGAGGCAAAACCAATGGCCCAGAGGAAGCGAAAGGTCGATGGTGAGAGACGAGAATCCATCATCACCGAGACACAAAAACTACTAAACGCGGGCTTCATACGCGAAGTCAGATACACCACGTGGCTGGCAAATGTAGTACTGGTGAAGAAAAGCTCGGGGAAGTGGCGCATGTGTGTCAACTACACCGACCTGAATAAAGCGTGTCCCAAGGACTCATACCCCCTACCAAGCATTGACATACTGGTTGACGGAGCATCCGGGCACGCCTTACTCAGCTTTCTAGATGCTTACTCAAGGTACAACCAGATCATGATGTACCCACCAGACGAGGTGCACACGTCGTTCATCATTGACCATGCCAACTTTTGCTACCGCGTGATGCCATTCGGCCTCAAAAACGCGGGAGCCACTTACAGAGGTTGATGGACAAAGTCTTTCACCAGCAGATCGGCTGGAACATGGAGGTCTACATCAACGACATGGTGGTCAAAACCACTTCAGCTGAAGGTCATGCTACCGACCTGGCCGAGGTGTTCAGTCAGATCAGAAAACACAACATGCACCTCAACCCATAGAAGTGTGTCTTTGGCATCCAGGAAGGTAAATTCCTTGGTTTCATGATCACCAGCAGGGGCATTGAAGCCAACTTGGAAAAATGCAAAGCCATTATCCAGATACAGATCCCTCATATTGTGAAAGACGTCCAACGCTTGGCAGGAAGGTTGGTTTCCCTTTCACATTTTATCCCTAGGTTGGTGGAGAAAGCAGGGCCCATCTTCACCCTGCTACGAAAGCCGGAGAACTTCGAGTGGACGGACCGTTGCAAAGAGGCTTTCAAGAGCTTCAAAGTCTTTCTCACGACTCCACCAATCCTCTAGAGGTCGGATCACCGCACCGACCTCCTCCTCTACCTGGCCATGGCAGAAGGCGCAATCAGCACAGTCATAGTACAAGAGCACCAGAAGGTGCAAACACCGATCTACTCTATCAGCCGAGTCCTTCAAGACATGGAAAAACGGTATCAGATGATTGAGAAGCTTGCACTAGCACTTGCCACTACAGCTTGACGCCTCTGACCTTATTTTCAAAGTCACCAGGTGGTCGTTAAAAATGACTACCCGATCAAGCAAATCCTGAGAAAGCCGGAGCTCGCCGGACAGATGATAGCATGGTCAGTAGAGCTGTCCGAGTTCGACATCAAATATGAAAGTCGCGACCCCCTGAAAGCTCAATGCCTAGCAGATTTTGTGGCCGAACTAACTCCAACCTTGGCCGACAAAAAACAAGTATGGACTTTACATGTTGATGGGTCTTCCAATTCTAAGGGTGGTGGTGCAGGTATTATTTTGAAGGGCCAAATAAGGTCACCTTAGAGCAATCTCTCAAGTTTGGCTTCCAAGTGACCAACAACCAAGAAGAATATGAAGCACTTCTAGCAGGGCTAAGGCTGGCTCGCGACCTCGGAGCGCGGAGAATAAGTTGTAACAGCGACTCAAAGCTCATGGTGGAGCAGCTCAGTGGGGCATACCAGACCAAAGATACCCTACTGTAGAGGTACTTTCATGTAGCCTCCCATCAAATCTCCTCCTTTGATGAGTTCACGATCCACCATGTGGAAGGATTCCATCATGTGGTATCTAGAGCCTTGGTTCTTCAAGGGTAACATTTTCTTTACCTCTTGTATTTTCGATCATGTCATGTCTTTCTTGAATGTATTTTAAGTTGTTCTTAAATGATTCATCATATTTCCATATTTTGATGATCCATAAATCTCCTTTCATGTGTTGATTCATACCGTATCTTCCTTGTGAATCATCTTGGCATTTTTAGGCTTTCTTATTTAGGTTCTTACCATTTTTCTTTAAAATTTGAGTTGCTGGAAAATTTTGGGCTGCATGGTATAATGAAGTTTTTTATTTTATAATCCATCCGGTTTTGTCATAAGCTTGTTTCTTTTACACTACCTTGAAAAACATGCCAAACATTCATGCTTCATCCTTGAAATGAGTAAAATGTGACATGCATGCCACATGTTGGATGAATTGGCCGTGAACCTTTATGTGCTTTAGAGAGTCAATCATGCATGCTAATTAGTTCTAGCATGTTCTACATTCCTAAAATATCATGTGTGATTACATCCTTTGAACACTTTTGCTTTGAAATTTTTAGCCAACTTTGAGTATTTCCTAGTGCACTTGTATGCCTACATGTTGTTTGATGATTTGAGTATGAAAAAATGACTTTATGTGCATGATTTTGCTTCTGTTCATGTGCACACTAAAACTTTAAGAAACACTCAAGTCTCATCTCATTGAGCCATCATAAGTTACAAAAGAGAATACTCCAAAAAAGTTTCTAACCAAACCAACAAACACAAGTGTAAAACCCAAGCAAAGGAAGAGTATAAACATAAAAAAAAAAGATTGTGGCTGGACCCTTGACCCTAAAACCGAGGCAAATCCAAGCTTAAAAAGGAATAGGCTCTGGTAATCGATTACAAGAAATGGGTAATCGATTACCAGAGAACCTTTTAATAAGTAAATTTCGAACATATGATTTTCATTGTCTGGTAATCGATTACATGTATAGGTAATCAATTACTAGACTCTTAAAACAATAGTTTCCTCAAATTTAGTCATCAAACAGTTAGCGAGGGATTCATCCCAGTTAGTGACGGATAAAATCTGTCGCAAATTGTGACGGAATTCTAGCGTCGCAAATTGTGACGGATTCTAGTCAATTATAGGCATCACAGTTTGTGACGGATTCGTTCATCACAATTTGTGAGGGATTTTGTGTCATCACAATTTGTGACGGACTCACATACCTCTCAATCCCTCTCAAATTGCGAGGGATTTAATCCCTCACAAATTGCGACAGATTCTTATTAATTTCTAAACATTTATTGTTAGAAATTAGTGACGGAAATTATATTGTTTGTGATGCCTTAATTCCGTCACTAATTGTGACGGAGAAAATAATCTGTCACTAAATATTTTGTGACGCCAAATTTTGTGACGGGATCATTTCCGTCACAAATTCTGTCACTAATTTATTTGTGACGGATTTTATGAAGATTAGTAACGGATTTGTTCCCTCTCTAATTTTAATTTTTCTAGTAGTGCAAATTGCCGCAACTTGCATCTTAAAATCCTAGGATTAAAGAAATATCACATTCAAATAATTAATCCTTATTTTAAAGTATTTTATATTCTATTAATATTAATTAAGTTTTAAATAATTGATTAAAAATTATTATCCTTATTATGAATGCATAATATTAAAAGGAATGACATTATTATTTATCTCCAGGATTATTTTTTAAAATAATTAAAAGTTGTATTTGAATTTAATTAATTAATATTTTTATATGACAAACTTTACTTAACTAATGATTTAAAATTATAAAATACCATTAAAACAATTGACTAAATAGATTTGGAGAGTTGGTTTGCAAATGAAACTAAATTCACGTGAAATAAAAAAAATAAATAAATAAATAAAAAAAAAAACTTGCATTTGTAAAATTGGAAAACGAAACGCACAAAAGCACTGCCCGAGAATTACGTGGTTATTTAAAAATAAAGAGAAAAATAAAATGAAGTTACAAAAAGGAAGAATAAAAGGTAAAGGCAAGAAAAAAAAGGATTTCATTATGTTAGGGCTAGCACATGCAATTCTCTTTATCCTGTAACTTAATCGATGAAAGGGGAAGGGAAAGAAAATGAGTTGGCTGTTGGCGATGGGGTATGGTGGGATTCAGTCGTCTAGGTTCAAATGGTTATTCGATACGACAACTAATAAGATCCACACAACAACGATGTGAAGGAGAAGAAGAGAAACGAAAATCGGTGTGAAGGAGAAGAAGAGAAATGAAAATCATCTCTGCCAACAGGATACAGAGACGTTTGTAATGATAACTGATTGATCGAGGTAAAAGGAGAGAAACGGGGCATCGTCACCGTTGGAAATCGTTTCCGACAACGGCATATAGTGCGACACTCATGGTGATAAATGACTAAGGTAAGTGTAGGCTTACTTCGGTTCTATGTTTATTTGGCTTTTCTTCTCTATATTTATACATGTTTTATCTTTAAATTTCTAGGTAGTTATTAGTAGTTTCAGAGAAGAAAAATGAAAAATAACTATGGACTTAATAAAGGCTACATGTACATTTTTTCTTCATTATTTTAGATCTTCTTGCATTTTTAATGATTCACATTTTTATGGTTTTTTTTCATCCATTTATTCATAAATATAAGAGAAAATTACCATCTAGATGAGGGTAAGAAATTATACCTAGTTGGCACGTTTTGTACTTTTGTTACTACTTGGATGCTCTTTGCATTTCTTTAATGTTGGACACTCATATTCACTATGTCTCTCTTTGTGATTTTCTATTTCTCTTTTCGAAAAAATTTTCCCAACCCCTTCTTCCTTTTGTATTGTGTTATTTATAGACGTATGAATTTTGAATTTGATTAATATGATATCATTTCTCTATCAAATCCTTAGATTCAGGGATATGGCTTGTGAATTTGGTTTTGTGAAAGGTTTGGTGACTCCTATAGGGAATGGTTGCAGGGTAATGTTTTGCAGAGTAGTTGGGGGAGCAGTTGTTGGAATCCAAGAAAGATATGATCAACATGTGTTTTTTTTTTTGTTTAATTTGTTTTTTTTTTAATTTTTTATGTATTATTTTTTTATATGTATGAACTAGACTTTATTGTTATACTAAATCATATGATTTTGATTTATATGAGAAGACAAAATTTGGAGTTAACAACACCATAAATCAATCATGCTTCTTTTTATTTTGTTTTTGTAATAATTCTTCCCACATCGTAATGTTTTGATTTTTGTTGCAAGATGCATATATCTTAACTATCACTATATTTAATACTTTATCCACACCCCTTCCAACCCCAAATATCTTGATCCCACAAAGTGGGGAGACACCTAAAAACTATCATTGTCTCACAAACAAAGTAGTTCACCTGTTGTATTGACAACAAGCACCATAAGCATTTAAACCTTACTATCTCCCCAAATTAAGTGGCACAACCTTTCAACATTTTTTGTCTTTTGTTTCCTGCAAACACAAAACTTGTATATTTTCTTTAATCACTACCTTTTTAATATGTTTCCATTTCACTTTCCCCCTTAAACTCCTAATATTATATGATAAAATCTTCATCAATCAAATGTTCAACTCCACTCCCTTCTCATTGTCGCGACCCAAAAATTTGTGATCTTGCGACCTATGGTTTAGACATCCTTTTGAAAATCTCATCAATTAAGGAATGTCCGGACACCAGACTAATCCTTGATTAATGGTTTTGAAAATAGGTTCATGGAGTCGCCACCAATGTTTTACTCAAAACATTGGAAAAAGAAAAGGTTTTTAAAAGTCCAATAATGGCCTTGATAACCATAATTGGGTTCGGGAGTCGGTTACGTGTAGGGAAGGTGTTAAGCACCCCTACAACGCCCTAAATCGGTACCCTATGATGAAGATAACGTAAAAAGAATTAATAGTTTAAATATTTAATCCCCTTTATTAATGATTATAGCTTTGTCTTGATGAGTTCTTCTGACCCATAGCAAGTAAAATGCATGGATGCATGGATGCAATGAAAATGCAAGACAAGAATGATTCTTTTATTTATTCTATTTTTTTTGTGTAACACCCTTCCATATGCCCCTACCTCATATGAATGCGATGAAGTTTATGCTCATGTGTTTGTTCCTAAACATGCAATTCAATTTTTAATTTGTTGTCGAAAATATTAACCTGTACGCATTAAGGTTAATGTTGACGATTCCTTTCTGTCCGTGCCATTTTTGATTATTGTCGGTATATATTCCTTTAAACCCAAGGTCTTAGTGGCTCTTTAATTATCTGGTCAAAGGTCTTCAGACTCTGTTCAGGGACATCTCTATCTTCCCTTTGTGAGTATTCACTGTGCATTTTCCATGTATCTTTTCGGTACCATTTTAATGCCATAAGGTTCGAGAGAAAAGAAGAAAGGGAATGTTTGTATTTTTTTTCAAAAGGATGTTAGAAGGATTTTTTTTAAAAGGGGTTTTTAAAAGAATGGATGGTCAAGGTGGGCTTTAGTGTTTATGGTTATTAAACAAAGCATATTTGCTACAAAGAAGCTAACATTGTGTTTTATCCTTTTTGGAAAGTGGAGTGATGACTTGGGGTCGTGCTCTGATTGAATGATTCCCCGGAGCTACCTTTCGATTTTCAACTCAAGTCGCTGCTTTAACGTCCTAACTTTTACCTAGGTCACTTGGGATGTGTTTCCTAGCAGACATTTTTCTTTTGATCCTTACTTTTGCCTAGGTTACCCTTTTTGATTGTGGGTCCCCTAACGGATCTTGCCATAATTTTGCATAGCCCCTTAGTGGGTTTCTGCCAGGCTTTCATTTTTGCAGCGTTTGCGTGGGATGCCCTTTTTTTTATTAAACCCTAGTCATGTTTGGATTCCTGATTGTTCATTTGTTATTCTTTCCATACTATTATTGAGTAACATCTTTGTCGCAAATACATTTTGTTTGTTAAGGATTGATGGATGAGACCTAGAGTGAATATTTAAAGAGAGAAGAGAAACAAAAGAGTGCTATGGCATTTAAAACAGTACTTTCAATTTACACGTGCCCCTTTAGCAAAGCTTGAAGGCCCGGGCATGCCCCGAGTTCGTGATTCATACACAGAGAGATAGACGAAGGTTGCCCCCTAGAGAGTCATGAATGATTTAATAATTTCAAAAAAATCGTTCCACTTGCTTGAACGTCGGTGTTTTAAATTTGGAATGAAACCTTTATGAATTCTTACTTTCGAAGGGAATATTCGAGCCACCTTTCGATTCCAACTCAGATAGACATTTCTTATTTTATATATCCCTAACTTTTGCATAGGACATATCCTATCGGGATTTTGATTCTTTTTTCTTCACCCTAATTTTTGCCTAGGACGCCTTTTACAAGTTTTTATCCTAGCGGGTTTTTTTCATGCAATGCCTTTATTCTTCAATTGGGTTTTGTCTTGTAATTCCCTAGAAGCAAGGATTCGCCAATTCTTGATCATTCCTCCTATCCCGACAATTTTCGTTTTCGCATAGGAAAGTCTCAGTGTTTGAATAGTTGATTTGAGCGTGTGATGCCCCCAATTACTGATAAGTGTTCCCCGATTTGATGTGTCAGGTTAGTATTTGATTACAGTGATTTCCATTATCCGGTTAATACGCACAGATTAGGTTTCCATTTTTATTCTTATTTATTATTTACAAGGAAGGCGTGTTATCTATATGAAACATAAAATAGAATGCAAATACACTTGAGAAATTCAATGAATATCATTCTCATTGATTTTTGTTTAGAGAACATTCCTTGCATACTATTATATGTGTCTTCCATCTCTAATGGATGCATGCTAATGTACTATCCTAGGAGATGCATGATATTTATTTTCTACCTAAATTTTATCAAGTTTTTTTTTATTTTACTAAAGGTTATGATGCATGACTTTTGCTATATTTTTTTTGTTTTTTTTTTGAAACAAACTATCCTATATGATGCCTTAGAGCTAGGGTATACAGAAGAGTGTTAGTTTTTTTTATTGATATCTTTTTTTTTCTATAATCACTTTCTATTTGAAATGAACAAAAAGAGAACACAACAAATGCAACACACATATGCTCAAACAAATGTTTAAACCCACGGAAGTCACATTCAAAATCCTTGGTCTGTGGTTCCTGTAAGAAAAGTGCGTTGTATAAGACAGTTCTAATCTCACTGGTCTTAAGGCCCCCAAGGTGCCCCCATTATAGAGACCTAGTATCTCTATCGTCGTCACCTAGCAAAATCTAAGGTCTGTCACAATATTTCGGGCTAGAGTAACCGGTTATCACCTTGAGTGTGATTTCCGACAAGGCTCACAGGCTTCAAGGCCAAACTTGGGCCGGTCGTACATCAACTACTCCCTATGTTTAATACCCTCATGCCCCCAGGTGTAGGGGGACTTTTGTGTGCAAAGGTTTGTGTACAATTTTTATTCAAACAAGTGCAGAATTTAAACAGGCAAATAGATATTAAAGCCACACAAATAAAACAAACAAAGTAAAGGGAAAAAATATTTAAATTATTATTCTTATTTTATTAACTTTATCATTTATATGGGCCTGACCCTCTTAAAACTTCCCCAGTGGAGTCGCCATCTGTCGCGACTCAAAAATTTCTAATCTTGCGACCTATGATTTAGACATCCTTTTGAAAATTTCATCAATTAAGGAATGCCCGGACACCAAACTAATCCTTAATTAATGGTTTTGAAAATAGGTTCATGGAGTTGCCACCAATATTTTACTCAAAACATTGGAAAAAGAAAAGGTTTTTAAAAGTCCAATAATGACCTTGATAACCAGAATTGGGTTTGGGAGTCGGTTACGTGTAAGGAAGGTATTAACACCCCTACAATGCCCTTAATTGTTACGTGTAGGGAAAGTATTAAGCACCCCTACAACGTCCTAAATCGGTACCTTATGATGAAGATAACGTAATGAGAATTAATAGTTTAAATATTTAATCCCCTTTATTAATGATTATTTACATGAAAATTAAATTACACGATGAACCCTAAGATATCTACATGATTATGTTTATTATAGCAATATACGAAATAAAAGAAGAGAAAGATAGAAAAAGAGATTGATGAGTAATACCTCGTAGCAAGCTTTATTAGATCTTCAACTATGGAGATTTTAGGTGCTTTTGTGGCAACCTTTCACACTACAATATGCCTCACAAAACTCAAGAAATACAATAGGAGAGAGAGAAATTTTGAGCTCTAAGGAGTCTTGGATGAAATTTTTGAGGCCCTGAGAACTGTGCCCAAGCGGTCTATTTATAGGCATCAGAAGGGTGCCAAAACGGCCCATCTGGATCTGAACATTATGTGTTAAATTCTTACCCTGGAACGGCCTGTTCTGAAACCAGAACTTTCCTGTCTAGTTTTTATATTAACACAAAAATTCATTGCTATAATGGCCTGTTCCAAACTAGGTTTTTTAGGCTATTTAGCGGTTTGGAACGACCCATTCTGGTTTAGGAACGGCCCGTTCCAGCCTAAGACTTTTAGGCCTTTTGCCTAATTTGGAATGGCCCGTTCTAGTTTTGGAACGACCCGTTCTATACTAGGTTTTTAGGCCTTTTTGTGGCTTGGAACGACTTGTTCTGATTTTGGAACAGCCCGTTCCGGGCCACTAAAACTAATTTATTTGGGCTTTAGGCCTTCTGATGTCCTATCCTATTGTTTGCATGCTTCGGGAGCTCATTTCCTTCATAACAAAGGTCCATTTCCTTGTTTGTATGCCCCCGGACGAAATTGGGTGTCTACACTCATTACCAACCAACTATTGTCTATCTTATTGATCATTTTCTTCAAATTCCACCACTTTATGGATATTATATTCTTCTTCTCCCCCTAAATGAAATACCTAATTTATTTCTTATTTTCCATAATTTTTTAGCCTCTATAGTCTCCTTCTTCAACCAGAAAATTAGGTTACAATTTCTAATATCGCCATCTGACAAAGAGTTGTTAAATGAATGAAAAGCTAATTTGACCACTTTCTTCTTGGATGCTTTGAAAATTAAGTGAGCACACTTACGAAGAACAGGAACAAATGATCCATTCTTCTATTCAAATGGTTATGTTGATAATATGTGATTAATCGTTCCAATGGTTATTGTACATCTGCCTCTAGGCAATTCACAAGATTCTCTAACCTCCTAGAATGTGAAATAGGATCCGTTAGAATGGTTCAACCTTTGTAGCTCTCCTTCTGATCGTTTCTTATATATGTTCCCCCTATATCCTTTTCTAATTGTGACCTCCATTATTCCAGCTTCTAATGATTGTGCACAAATAGGTGGCTTGTAGTTAGGGCACTTCATGCATGCCCTTCATTCTTCCTAGAGGGCCCTCCAATTCAATTATGTTTGTACTTCTACCATTCCCTAACGTGCCACTTTTTGGATAATAATAATGGGCCCTTATTGTAGCATTAACACATTCTTATAATTGGTTCGTTTAATAAGATCCACTAAAATGTTACCCCCTTGTTTCCTCCTGTAGTGCCTTTAGACAATGCATTTGGGGAGTTTGGGTTTTTATGACCCCCTAGTACACAGCTTGAGGCCCATTATCTGGTGAGTCTTCCACATGTAGTGAGATTCGTAGCCCATGAAGTCCCTCCCTAACATTACTTTCCACCACAAGTTTTGAACCTTTACCACTTTTACATAAGGTATCATGCACTATTGCATCCCTCTCCCTTTGTAGGCTCTTAGACCCAGTATTCACTAATTATAGAATGTCCTTCCCTTCCCCAATTGCACTTTTTCTTAGTATATGTGACATGATGTGACCTCCTTTTTGGATGACCTGTTGGTTAGAAACCTTTTGGTAATAATTCAAACTTTCTTCCTCTAACTTACTCCAATAGAGATCCACCATTTCATTGTATTCATCATCCATCCCAATATTCTCCTCCAAGCATTCTGAGGTTGGTGAACAAATGTTAGCTACTAGCTCACTTTATTTGGAGGAAATGGATTCTAAACCATTTTTCCATAACCAACACTTACATTGATTAACAAATGATACCACTTCTTTAAAGACCCTCACTTGCCTAATGACACCATTAATTTTAACTTTAGTAGTATATTGGACAGGCTCCAAAATTAGTTGTGTCATTATCCAGAGAAACAAGGGTTTTAAATATACCAACAATACTTGCAAAACAACTATTTCCCCATTGTGAATGGGTTCACCAATATAATAAAGCCAAGTTAGTTGGTTGCCTAAGACCAAATCTAGACTTCATCTCTTGATTGAGTCAAATAAGGACCAAATATCTCTGTCTTCCTTAAGATTCATATTTTGTATGGTCTTTTCATCCATCCCTTGTATTATACATGTTTCTTATAACCTGTCAAAACAATTCTAGATTTTTGAGTCTTCCTAGCTAACTAGTTGTCTTTGATCTATTATGTGTTTTCTTATGATAATGATATAGTGATGTCATTCCATCCTTAATTTTTACCTCTTAGTTGTCCCCCACCTTTAGCTCTTCATACTAACTTTGTTTCTTTGCTTCCTTGTTGGACTACTTGTGTGTATGTTTGTGAAATGTAGTTTTGTTTCAACCCTTATTCTCCTTTTTCTCTACACCATCTACCTCTCTTCCTCCCTCAAAAGACCTTTTCTTTCAGACGTTTTCCATTCACCTCACCAATACTTTGAGATATTTACTTGTAGTTTAACATTACCAAAGTAAACTTTATCGAGTGGTGCTTCTAGGATCTTGTCATTTTGAACATTAAAAAATCTGACAAACCTATATCATTTTCCTCACTTATTTCTTCTATTAGTTATAAAGACCTCCCAAACCCTAAACCTTCCCCATAAAATATTTGATTATCTATCAATTTAAATTAATGAAATAAAGTATCAAATAATTCTTAAATTTTCAAAAAATTTGTAAACAGTATTAAAATTTTTTGATTTAACGATTAGATCGTTAAAATTTGATATGAAATATAAGTTATTTAGTAAAGAAAGTAAGTAAATTTACTCTTAAAATAAGTAAATTCCTTCTAATATATATGTGTATGTATATATATAAGAGCTTTGAATTAAATTTTATAAGTAAAATAACTTCTACATTTAAAAGACATTTGATTGATTTTCCTTTTGTCGAAAGTCACATGCCAATAATATTGCATTAAAAAGGGTGTGTCTAACATGTTCTTTGTGTGCTATTTTCCCTTGTGAATTATAAAGAATTGGCAAATGAATCTAACGGAAAAGATGATCTCGTTATACACAATGGAATAAAGGATAGGAAGAGGCGAGCTTCATTTTATTTAGTAGAGATAGCTCAAACTCTCTAGATATGTTACATAAAATACATCAATCGCTTAAACGAAGACAAAGAAGATATGGCTTCTATGGCACTGCCTAGAGGCCATGCTGCCTTTATAAGAGAATCTTGATATTCAATTTCATTTGCCACTATAACCTCTTGATATGGATCTAGGCCTGCCAACAAATGAAAGTAAAGATAGTGAGAGTATGAAGATAATTAACAAATATAGTTGTCAACCATATTGTGTATTAGAAAACTTTATTATTAATTGTTGTTAAACTTATCAGGTAATCAATTATCAACCCGTTATTGAATTTTTTATAAAAAAAAAAAAAAAGAAATTCAAGATGTTTAATACTGAGTGTGAGAAGGGATTGTGGAAATTTAATTTAAAATATCACTTCACAACAATTAATCATACCAAATCCATCGACGAGCAACGTGTATTGATACGTAAGATCGAGGCAAATGTATGGAAGTACATCCTCGTCCAGAAGTGGATAAGTGGATTGAGCATCCTCAAGTTTTACTTGACAAGCCTTCTCAGCTGCAATCTTGTATTCCGCAGGATAAATTGTGGCACTGGTTTTATTTGAATCAACTATACCAGACTATAAAAATAAACAACATAAACAATAACATCAAAATATGAAACTTATTAAAACTTAATTTGTATAAGATGGAAATATATATAAAAGCTAGCAAAGAAACTACATCGTGATTAAATAAAACAAATTAATACATACATCTATAACCAGGTAATAGAAAGATGTAGTGATATAAAGAGTGCTTTGTCCACTTCCTCCACCACCGTTCCATATCCCACCAAAAGTGCAATTCTTATATGAGCATGTCTCGTTCACTTTGAGAGCTTCAAGAACTATCTCTCTGCATTCGTCATAATCAGAGCCAGAAGTGGAGGCCAAGGCCGTGTATTCAACTCCCGAATATGTGTAGGTCCCTTTAAAGTATAGAAAAATTGTCTACATGTTATTGGCATACTAAAAGCTTTTATAAAAAAAATCTACTCAAAATCCCAAGCCTACTTATATCCAGCATTTATCAAATGTAGAGTTCAAAAAATAAATTAATTACATTTTTAATGACCATATTATACAATTTTATAAATTTTTTCATTTGATTTTTAAAAGTTTGTTACTCAAATCTCACATGTTTTATTATTCTAATAGTTAATTATGACATTATCAAATGACTATTAATATAACATATGATACATTGATTATTAATGTAAATTACTAATATAACATAAAAATAATATAATTTAATATATTATGTTAATAATTAATATATTATATCAAGTATTAATGTATTATATCAATCGTTAATTAATGATGTTAGATGATCAATTAGTAAAATATCAAAATATATAAAAAATGTGAAATTTTTTTTGAATATTTAATGTTAAAATGTGTGATTTTAAAAGTTAAATGGTAAAATTTACATAATCATACTACATAGACGATTAAAAAATGCAACTAAGTCGAAAAAAAAGAGAGTATATATTTACCATTATAACCGGCTAAAATGCAAGGGTTAGATGAATCACCGGTGACATTCATAATCACTGCACGCGATGCTTCTTTACCATAGTACAAGTAACTGAAAGAAAGATGTTTGATCAACATATTAGCAGTGGCACAAGTCACAAAGAATGTTTATCTACCTGCCTTTATATACACTTCAAATTTGAAAGTGGTTATTCTCAAAAGGTTGGTCCAAACTTAAAGAATTGATATTGTGGAAAGAATATGAATTAAAATTGAGGAAGAAACCTGTGAACATAGAGGTTATAAGTTGTTCCATTAACTACAAGTGTCTGTATGTATGCATCTTCACCATCTGGTGCTTCTGGAGCATTTGCAGCTGTATTGCTTGAGACTGCATATGCCATTTGAACTGATCCACCTCCAAGATCGACAACTCCCACCGTCTGTGAAAAGCTTTTCCCCAAATTTCCCAATAGATAGTTCATTGCCACCTTCAAAAATTTGTTGCAAGATAAGACAAAACAAATTAATTAAAATACATACTACATGTATTGTTAATTCATAAACTACTTAAGATATTGGGGGAGTGTATAGCTTCTTATTATTGTCATTTTGTATTCTCATGATTTTGTGCTATCTATCATATTTGACCCACTGATCAATAATATGGATGAAAGCAGTCCAACTTTAACAAAGTTAGATCATTTTATTTTTTTTCATCTAAAAGAAGTGTAAAACTGAATCAAAGTAGTCTAACTGTAAATTTATATTTTTTCATAAGCAAGAAGAGTTTATTGAGAAAAAGAAGCAGGTAGAACCGGCACAAGATAAAACCATTAAATATGTTTGATAAGTATACCAATATAAGAATAATTTTAATTTAAAACTATGTAAATTGATTATTTATATTTAGGTATAAGTTTTGTCATCATCTATCATGCTTTCACGGTTTCAAGCCCACACACCCAAGATAATCTTGCCATCTTCTAAAAGGTTAATGTGCAACAAAGAGTTTTTGACGAAAGTTGATAAATGTTTTATAAATAAAATTAAATTATGGCATGAGTTGATTTTTAAGTAAAGGTAATACAAAATATTTATTAATTTTTTTTAATATTTATGAAAGATTAATATGAACAATAATATTAGGAGACATTTGGTTTTTAAGTTATCTATTTTAATTTTCTGATATCCTTTTAATTACAAATCCGTCACCTCATTTTTTACGTACTTTATATCGTATTTTCAAAAGTTTGTATAGGAAATAATAAATTTATTTTTTATTGTTTTCTGTTTTTTTTTTTTACAAATTTCTATATTAACTTTTGAAAATAGAAAATAAAATGAAAATAAAGTGATATTTGTAAAATTCAAAAGAGAACACAAGAAAATATAAAATGTTTCCTCAAATAAAACACTCTTTTGGAGTACTTAATTTGAGAAAACATTTGCTGTTTCCATTTTGTATTTATAAGAGATTAATAAGAAGCAACAAAATTAACGTTTTCTTTAAATTAATTTTCAATGAAAATGAGCTTTAGTTTCTACTTTTTCTTTTCTTTTTTTATTTCAAAATCTAAAAGCGAATTACTAAAAAAATTAACCTATTATAAATGGTTTTATATGTTAATTTACAAAGTTATTAAATGATCAAACTGCTTAAATTTAGATTCAACTTTTTATTTTTTATTTAAATTTTAAAGGAATTTTTAAGCTAAAAACAAATAAAGGTAAATATTATCTAAATATACTACAAGAGAGCCTCTTATTTATAGTATCCCTAAATAATAATAAAAAATCAACTTTTATATATTACATACAATTTTTTCTTTGATAAAAGAGTTTGTTGAATTTTTAATTTTTTTTTATCAAATTCAAATTTTTATTTATCATAATTATTTATAATTTATATGCTAATACTTTAAAATAAATTTTAAAAATAAAAATAATTTTGTTACAATATAAATTATTTATCATAAATATAAAATATAATTTATATATTTTAAAGTATTTATTTTAAATCTAACTTATATTTTGAAATATATAATTTTTTATAGATTTTAATTATATAATAAATATATTTGTATATTATATATGCTAAAAGACAGTTATGTACATGATGAAACCTTTTTTAGGCATAAATGAGAACACATAGCCCGGCCCACGGCTTAGATAGAGTTTCTATTATTAAGGTAGGGCAGCCATTCATTTTTGGTGGGTTTCATAAAGTGCACTGTCTGTTCTTGAAACGAAGGGCTGAGAAAACTTTGGCGTGGAGTAAATTTAAGTAAGTAACAAAACCAACAAAAAGGGTATGAGGTTTTCTAGAATTACTTTAATTTTAGGTGAAAAAAAATAAGTAAAAATTAAAACAAGTTAATAAAAATTTAAATAAGTTAATAGGAGATACCAATTTCATTTTTCTTCCTATTTTCTTTCATAAAAATGCTTATGGAGAAGTTTCTTTAAAACATTCATATATGTCATACTTAAAATTCAAGGAGAGCGAATATACACTTTTAAATACATTCTATACATAATGATTAAATATTATGTATTTATATTAATGATTTCTCTTAAAAAAATTGCTAACTATGTCCGGTAAATTTTGATTGATGACTAATTTCTGTTAGAGAATTTAATTGACTCCCTAGTTGGGTCTTCTCTCCAATCACATTTTTCTCATGCAGAACTCAAATATGAAATCTTACTTAAAAAAACTCAACATAATATCACTCAGATCAGTAACTTGTTAATATTCATTTCTCTTAATTTATAATATAATTAGTGAATTAAGTACATCATTAATATTAGAAGTAGTTTTAGAAGGAAAAATAATATAAATTGATAATGAATTAATAATATATTATCAACAAAATTAATTAATATTTTTAATACCCATGAAATAGATAATTAAGCCTCACCCACATATAAGAACCTTCGGCGGTTCCATCAAGAATAGCCACTGCGTCAGATTCTAGGCTCAGGGAACTTCTGTTAGTCAGCATATCCCTAACCTAAAACATAATTAAGAAAATGAATGCTTTAATTAAACATTGAAAGCCTACTTATCGAAGCAGCTAAAGAATTAAAAAGGATAAGAAACGAAGCTCATGGTTACCGCTTCTAATATTAGCTCAGAAGCATTCCCTTCCAACAGCCTTAAACCTGCAGTTGCCTAACATTAAAAAAATTGAAAAGATATTAGAGTAAATTACACATAAAACCTTTAAACTTTCGTGAAATTATACACATTTTTTCAAATTGCTTGAAAAATATTTACTTGTACTCTTAAATATTGTATTAACTTCATAAGAATAAAATAAAATATATGATTGCAACTACCGTATCATGCCATGATTGTAATTTCCATATTTATCTTAACATGACAGCAATGCATATCAATTTGATATCTGTCAGTAGACAAAATTAGGATACCAGCTATATTAGTTGGCGTAATTCTAGCTTATGATTTCTTCACGTTTCATGTATATATTTGCATATCATGATCAATATACACAGCAGTTTCGAATATATTTTGGCATGGTATCAGAGCTAGGTTAAGCTCTGATATCCAACAGCCCGAGAACGCAATTGGACTGCTGAAATGGCAGAAGAGAAGATTGAAACCGTGGCAGTGAAGAAAATGCCATCACCCTACGATCTGAGTGCTAGTGATAATCCCGGAAACGTGATTACACAAGTACAATTAAAAGGAGAAAACTATGAGGAATGGGTCAGGGCGGTGAAGATCTCTTTGCGGGCTCGAAGAAAATGGGGTTTCATTGATGGAACTCACCAGGAACCTGAAAAAAACACATCTGAGATGGAAGATTGGTGGACAATTCAATTGATGCTTGTGTCTTGGATACTAAACACCATAGAACCCAGTTTGCGTTCCACTGTTGCCTACATGGAAAACGCAAAGGACCTGTGGGATGACATCAAGGAACGATTCTCGATCGTGAACGGACCAAGAATCCAGCAGCTAAAGTCGGAATTGGCAGAATGCAAACAACAAGGAATGACTATGGTTGCCTATTATGGGAAGCTGAAAACGATGTGGGACGAACTAGCAAATTACGAGCAAATCCCACAATGTAAATGTGGGGGATGCAAGTGTAATATTGCAACTAAACTTGAGAAACGGAGAGAAGAAGAAAAAATTCATCAGTTCTTGATGGGGCTGGATGACGAGAACTATGGAACAGCACGATCAAATGTTTTGGCAACAGATCCATTGCCCTCATTGAATCGGGTATATGCCACCATGGTGCAAGAAGAAAGGGTGAGAACGATCACCAGGTCTAAAGAAGAGCGAGGAACGATTGTGGGACTGGCTGTGCGAGCGAAGACTAAGAACAAGCTGCGTAATGAAGCAAAAGAAAAATCAGTTGTGTGCGGGCATTGTGGAAGGACAGGACATGACAAGGGCAGTTGCTTCGAGGTCATTGGTTATCCAGATTGGTGGGGAGAGAGGCCACGGAATGAAAACAAAAGTATTAGAAGAAATCAACCAAGGATAGGGTCCTTCCGAGGGAAAGGAGGAGCAACTCGTGTCAATGTGGCACATACTGGTGCAAGTAGCAATGACTCAAGGTCAGAAACTAGAAAGCCAGAAGTAGCAGGACTGAGTAATGAGCAGTGGCAGATCTTGGCAGCCATGTTGAATTCTCACAAGGCAAATGAAACTGAAAAGATGACTGGTAAGAAAACATGTGAATTGTAGATTGTTGACAGTGGCGCCTCTAACCATATGACAGGAACGCTAGAAAACTGGTGGGAGAGCCGAGCCTTAGACGGGTGCCCTGTGGGATTGCCAAATGGTGAATTGGTGCTGGCAAACAAAGAAGGATCAGTTTTCCTTGATGGAGGACTGAAACTCGAAAATGTCCTATATGTCCCGAAGTTGAATTGCAATTTGATTTCGGTGTCACAATTGATAGATGAAGCAATATGTACAGTGCATTTTACTGATAGATTTTGTGCAATGCAGGACCACACTTCGAGGACGCTGATTGGAGTGGGTGAACGGAAAGATGGCCTCTATTGGTATCGTGGTGTGAGTGGCATGAAGGCTTATCAAATCAACGCAGAAGATCAACTCGAGATTTGGCACAAGAGAATGGGACATCCCGCCTATCAGATTGTGGAGAAAATTCCGAATGTGAGCAACGGGCATAGAAATAAGAACACAAATCAAACGTGTGAAGTGTGTGAGAGATCAAAGCAAAGTAGGAATAAATTCCCTTTAAGTAATTTTCAAGCATCCAACATTTTTGATTTAATACATTGTGATTTATGGGGTCCATATAAAACTCCTTCTTCTTGTGGTGCATCTTATTTTTTAACTCTAGTTGATGATTGTTCTCGAGCTGTGTGGATATACCTGTTGAATAATAAGAAAGATGTGTCACAAACCTTAATGAATTTCGTCGCTTTGATAGAACGACAATACGAGAAACAAGTCAAAGCGATACGAAGTGATAATGGAACTGAGTTTATGTGTCTCCAACGATATTTTCAGCAACATGGGATACTCCATCAAACCTCATGCACTGGAACACCTCAGCAAAATGGGAGAGTCGAACGAAAACATCGACACATCCTAAATGTAGCACGAGCTCTACGGTTTCAGGGACAACTTCCGCTTAGATTCTGGGGTGAATGCATTTTGACCGCGGGTTACTTGATCAATCGTACACCCTCAACAGTTCTCCAAGGAAAAACTCCATATGAAATATTGAATGGGAAGCCACCCTCTTATGAACAACTACGGGTGTTTGGATGCCTGTGTTATGCACATAACCAAGATAGGAAGGGTGACAAATTTGCAAGTAGAAGTCGCAAGTGTGTGTTTGTTGGATATTCGGCTGGACAGAAGGGATGGAAATTGTTTGATTTGGAAAGAGAAGTTTTTTGGATTTCGAGAGATGTCAAGTTTGTAGAACATGAATTCCCGTTTGCTTCTCTCACCCGTCGTGGACATTTGGAGGTGGAATTGCCCTCTGTTGATGTTGGCATTGTCGAAGAAGCATTGCCTGGACTTGATACAACAAATAATGACAAACACGTTGCGGAGATTGGTGAAAATAAATCCACAACAAAGGATGTGCCCACAACTGAATTCAGGGGGGGCCACGATGAGTATCATGAACAAGAGCCCTCTTCCCAGGCTATTCTCCCATCAGAACCCACTAACAGTATGACGATAGAACAAGAGGGAAACGAGATGCATACTGTCCCTGCACCGCTTGGAAGAGGTCACCGTGTCCGACAGCCATCTGTGAAACTTCGTGATTATGTCACTAACACCACCATACAAATCGGGCCCTCACTCCGCACTCCACAGTCCGCTTCCTCAGGTATGTCTTATCCATTGACAAATTACCTAAACTGTGATAAATTCTCCTTGCACCACCGAATCTTTCTTGCAGCTCTTCACGAAGAGCGAGAACCTATGCATTTCTCTGAAGCTGTTAGGGATGTTCGCTGGAGAGATGCCATGGCTAGTGAAATCCATGCTCTCCAAATTAATGAAACCTAGGACATTACCCCTTTGCCGGCAGACAAAAAGCCTCTGGGATGCAAGTGGATTTACAAAATCAAATATCACTCTGATGGGAGTGTTGAACGCTTCAAAGCACGATTAGTTGTCTTGGGCAATCACCAAGTCGAAGGGATTGACTATGACGAGACCTTTGCCCCAGTGGCAAAGATGGTTACCATCCGTACAGTGTTGGCAGTGGCTATAGCCAAAGACTGGGAACTCCATCAAATGGATGTCCATAATGCTTTTCTGCACGGAGATCTTGAGGAAGTCGTGTACATGAAACTACCACCGGGGTTCTTAGTGTCTCAAAAGGGTATGGTGTGTCGTCTCCGCAAGTCCCTTTATGGCCTTCGCCAAGCTCCTCGGTGTTGGTTTGCTAAACTCTCAAATGCTCTTGTTCAATACGGGTTTCAACGCTCTCAGTCAGATCACTCCTTGTTCATCTTTCGGAAAGGAGATGTACAACTGGTCGTGTTAGTTTATGTGGATGATCTTGTCATTGCTGGTAATCACAGTGAGGCCATTGCGAAATTCAAAGATTATCAGCATCAATGTTTCCATATGAAGGACTTAGGTAAATTAAAATACTTTCTTGGGGTGGAGGTTGCCCGGTCTCCTATAGGACTTTTCTTGTGCCAACGGAAGTATACATTGGACATCATAGCTGAAGCAGGTTTGCTTGGGGGGAACCCTGTGTCCACTCCCATTGAAGAAAATCATCGTCTAGCACTGGCTAATGGTGAACTACTATCCGACCCGACCCAATATCGACGCCTCGTTGGGCGCCTTATTTATTTGTGTTTTACACGGCCTGAATTATCCTACAGTGTTCACATCCTATCTCAGTTCATGCACCAACCGCGAGAGGAGCACTGGCGCGCTGCACTACGTGTGGTGCGTTATTTAAAGGGTCAACCGGGTCAGGGTGTGCTCTTAAAAAGGGAAAGTGATCTTCGTCTTTATGGTTGGTGTGACTCAGACTGGGCTAGTTGTCCTCTCACGCGACGATCTCTCACAGGTTGGTTTATTTTCCTTGGCCAATCCCCCATTTCATGGAAAACCAAAAAGCAACACACAGTTTCTCGATCCTCCGCTGAAGCAGAATATCGATCTATGGCCAACACAACCTGTGAGTTGAAATGGCTTCAAGGTCTTCTTTCGAGTCTGGGCATTCCCCACTCCGAGCCCATGAATCTCTATTGTGACAACCAAGCAGCCCTTCACATTGCCAAAAATCCTGTTTTTCATGAACGAACGAAGCATATTGAAGTGGACTGTTATCTTGTTCGTGATGAAATACAACACAATCGCATTCAACCTATTTATGTGTCCACTCACCATCAACTTGCTGACCTCTTCACCAAATCTCTTGGCGCCACTCAATTTGGTTCATTTTTGGGCAAGCTGGGCATTCATAACCTCCATGCTCCATCTTGAGGGGGGGTGATAAGAATAAAATAAAATATATGATTGCAACTACCGTATCATGCCATGATTGTAATTTCCATATTTATCTTAACATGACAGCAATGCATATCAATTTGATATCTATCAGTAGACAAAATTAGGATACCAGCTATATTAGTTGGCGTAATTCTAGCTTATAATTTCTTCACGTTTCATGTATATATTTGCATATCATGATCAATATACACAGCAGTTTCGAATATATTTTGGCATAACTCATTAATTAATTGTTTGAAAAAAAAATAATACTGTGACTCGTGTAAAGGTAGTGAACCAAAATGTTAAAATAATAAGAGTAATGTGCATTCTCGTGGGATGTGTGAACGTAATTTAGTTAAGATATTATGTACTAAACCCATATGGAACCAGTTGCAAGTGATAATTAATTTGACATTTTTATAGGATTCGGAATTTTTTTTTTATAAATTTCTCTGTAAACATTTTTGGACGTACGAGCAATTCAAGAAGGAAAATAAAATAAGCCTTTTATAACTTAAATTAATTTACACAAAAAGTTACTTTTATACAAGTTCTTTTTTATTATCTTTTTAAAATCTTATTTTTAACTAATATACATAAATTAAAAACGTTTTTAAGAATTTTTCTACCAACAATTAATGAAAATATTCTCAAAAATAATTTTAAACTCATCCAAACAGGTCCCATAAATTAGTTTTAATTTATAATTATTTTGATTTTTCTTACTATTTTTCTCATGCTTTTGGGAAGTTTATCTAACCAAAGCAAATGTAAGTGAGAAAATAGGTACAGAAAGACATACTCCAAGCCTAACGGGGGTACTGGAGCGCAAGTCCTCAGGGACCAAGCTTTCTGCTTCCTCCAAAAGTGGAATGAGAGTTTCTGCAGCTTCTTCAGGATCATCCTCGTAAGAACTTAGACCTGGTGTGATCTGAAGCATAAGAAGAACACAAGATATTAATGCTTAATTTACATGTAATTAACCTTAACTTACGAAGCATGTCATGTCACTACCTTATCATAAAACTCAAAACTATCGTTAACGGGAAGGAGATCTAGGTTCTGGTCAAAATGGAAGACATGCACACGAGTCCCGGTGCTACCACCATCAAAAATCACAGCATAAGAGGTTGTGTTCTCCGTCTTTAGGAATATCTTGCGATTACTGAGTAGCTTGTTCCCCACATATTGGGAAGAAGAGGTTGCTGGCACCACTAGGAAGAGTAGAAAAGTGATGAGGCTTAGAAACTCCATGTTTTTGGCCACTCACACACTTTGGCCACATCAGAACCGTTTTTAAACACTCACACCTTATCCAGTTATTAACAGTATTTTTTTGCTTGTTATGATCAAGGAGTTACTGCTAAGTGATTTGTTTACGTCAGATGTTTCACAGTTATTGTTTTCATTGTAGTAAAAGATTATGTTCCTACAAATTTTGGGTTTGTTTCAAATTTTTTAGATCATATGACAGATTTTCTATGCTGATTTCTGCATGATATTAGTTTGCATTGGTAATTACTGCTCATTATAGCTAGATTTTCCTCTTTCCTTTGAAGTGATGCTTGAAAGTGATACGGTATCAGTGGTTACTTATGATTTAGACTTCGTCATATTTTTGCATAATTAACACGAATGTTCTCTTCGTAATTAAATTTTAAGATATAGCCCCGACGAATATAGTCCATTCGTCAATTCTGCACGTGGAAAATGAAAATGTCACTGTTATACCTGCATGAATATTTATACAAGAAATTTTATGGTACCCATTTTATTTAAGAGGATACTGGTATAATTTTTTATATTTTATATTTTTAATAATTTATTTAAATAATATTTATGATATTTTATTCTTTTAATTTTTAAATTATTTAATCATTTTATTTATTTTATATATTCTAATT